ACTGAAGCCAAAGGTGAAACTCCCATAGAAATAAATGGAGCAGGTTCTGCGGTCACTCAGCCACCGAGTTCATGTGATCTGCAGTGGAATTATTTCCCTTTTTGTGATAGAAACCTCTGGATACATTTCTTCTCCTCTGTGTGAACATAAACACCAGTACTGGAGATGCCGATTAAGTGACGTGGTGGTAAAACCCTGCTTCTGCAGAAGCTGCTGACTTTGGTGAGCCTGGGGTTTGGCCTTTGCTGTGTCTGAAAGTCTGCACACCTCTGGACAGACCTTTTAGGGGTTAAAATGCAAATCTTGTTCCACTCCAAGAATTTGTTACTCTGAGACAATGCTTCTGCATTTTTACCCCACCCCCCTTTTTTTTCCCTTTTTTTTTTTTCTGGACAAATAGTTATGTGGCATGAGGCTTGTTATAGTTGGAAACATCCCTAAGTAAACAGCTGAGCTTAAAAATACTTTTTTTTGTCTGGCCTTTTAAAAAAATGGTAGTTACTGCACAAAAGAAGACTATGCCGATGCCAATCACTGCGTCCTGGCTGAAAACAGGAAACTGCCTCCAGTGTCTGTCCCCAGCACTTTGATGACCCTGCTCGGACATTCAAAGCCTTGTTTGAGGATGTGCCCTGTGCTATGAATTGGATCTCTTTATCTCTTTTTTTTCTTTATTTCATGAGGTCCAAGGCTGCCTATCACAGATAAGTGTATATCCTGCCTGTCTGCTTGCTGGCCTCTATAAGTCTTCACTCACTTTGCTGATGATTTTCCAGCTTCTCCTCAAACTGGTAAAGGAGATGGGGAGCTACCTGCTTATCCAGACCTGCTCTAGTACATGCTTCCCAGCGCTCACTAAACCACCTGTGTTATCTCAGGCATCCTTTCATTTCTGAACTCCAGAGGAGGGATCTGTATTTCGGTACAAAAAGCTGCCTCTTGCACTGTGCTCAGGCAGCTTAGGAAGAAAGGAGAGATGGAGTTTGCATAATTTTCTGGTGCAACACACAAGAGCCCCAAGACTATTTTGGATCTTAAAGCCTGACTTCAGGAGTTAGCAAAAGAGGTCTTGCCAATTTGTTTCCTCAAGTCACACTTCTCCAGGTTGATTCTGCCACAGAACCTCCTTCAAGGTTTCCCAGATGTCACAGAAATCTTTGCTGAAGTGGAGACTGCCTTTTCCCAAAACAAGGGCAAGACAGGAGCTTTGGTTTGGCCCTAATGTTTTTCTGCCTTCAGTAAGAATTTTCTAAGGGAAAAGGAGCTTGGGCTGCCTGAACGAAAATGTGTTCCCCGAGTTCAGCTCAGTATCCTCCATCATCTGTTGTTAATCCCCCAGAGATGCTCTCTCCTGCTGCCAGGTGCTATGCCTGCAGATGTTTTACTGTTCTAGATTTCAGCTGGATTTCCAGGCAACTGCTTTTTAATTTTTTGAAGTAATTTCGTCCTTGAGGACAAATCAGATATTTTTTGTGTTCCTTTCTTCCATATCTCCTTCAATCAGATGTATCTTAGAAGAGCACAGTCCATGGTGTTGATGAATACAGTCCATGGTGTAGGTCATGCATGATCAATCCCCAACCATCACCAGGTCTTGGAAGCCTCTGGACCTCTGTGGAGACAAAAATTAGATCATGTTGCCAAAACCACGGATGCATTTAGTGTCACAGTAGTCAAGAAGAGAACAGAAAAAGCATTTTGCATTATTATAGGAATAAAGCCATTAGCTACTTATTCCTAGAAATACACCACTCCTGACACTGTCCTCTCTGGCTCTGAGCCTGTAGGACTCTATGAATATTACTGAGCTCTGTTCCTACCACTGAAGAAAGGGAAAAAGCCTGTTAGTTTTTATTTTGTGAGGGCAGTTGTAGGAAGAAACAATCTGGTTGTTCTTTGCTTTGCTTATGAAAATGTAAAGCTCAACATGTAACCTACCCATCATCCAAGACCACCAGAGTCAGAGCTGGTGCTCAACACCTGAAGGAAGAACCTCTGCTAGTTTTTGGCAGCCCACACAGTGATGCACCACATTTGGCTGTTGAAGGTTGGTGCCCTTGTGCTTGGGAAGGATTTAATGACAATCCCCTGTTTGCCATCACTCAGAACTGGGAAGCCCACTGGCAGGAAAGGCCTTCCCCTCTTCTCACTGGCACTCCCCTCAATGCAGAGTTCTGCACACTGTGTGATGAGTCAATAGTGAGAGCAACGGATCTTCCTTAAAAATAACCAGGGTTGTAAAGCCAGTTTCCCTCATCATTTTTCAGAGCACACAAAGGCAAGTGGGTGCCTCATCTCTCAGCTTCTGTGCATGGTGCTGTCCCATGGATGCAGTGGCACTCCAGGGCCAGCACAACTCCAGAGCTCATGACAGTGAGCAGTTCTGCAGTTCAGCAGGACTTGGTTAATCATTTAGGCAGCCCCCATTTAATTCAGACATCTCAGGCTCTCTGTTTGGTTCCTCCCTCGGGTTTGGCAGACTCTGAGCAGACAGATTTATTGGGGTCTTAGGTATAATCAGGAACAAATTAGCCTCTGTTAGGATCACACACTGTCCTGGATCACAGCTATTCAGGGGCTGCTTTCCCCTCCGTGTGAGTACGAATTAAGTCATCGGGCTGAAGTAGGCCTTGAGTATTCTTTTATCCCAAACACATGATCTTATCAGAAGCCCATTACGTTTATCATCGCATTAGAAGGGAGCATTTGGAGCCAGTGCAGGAGTGTGTTGCTCTATAAATGCTGTGCTTACTTCAGTGCCTGTCGTGAAAAGAAGTCAGTGCTTTGGGAAGGCCGGGAAACACTGTCTAAATGCATGTGCCTAAAATTAGGCTGTGAGTTTGTGGGTATGTGTTTCATGGGGGTGGCTGAGTCGGGGATGTGTAAAGGGAGCGCCCGTGCGTTTGTGTGTCAGTGTTTCTGTCAGCGTGGGTGTGCAGCAGGGTGGTGATGTTTCACTGTGTGTGTGCATATCTGACTGTGCATATGTTCATAGGCTGAAGGTCAGGTCTTTTTAACAGGGTAGGTATTTTCCTTTCATCCCCCCACCCCTTTTTACAGAAATAAGCCTCTTTTCATAAAACGACAAAGTGCTTTTTTCCAAAAATACATATTTGCATCTGTTTGGCATTTGGTTCTGAGGATTTTTGATTGCTGATCTCAGTCTTTTTAGGGCTGAACATTTTTCAGAGATTTCTGTTGGGCCTCTCACTCAAACTGGGACATAGTGGGTAAGCCAATTAATTGTATCCTACTGTCATGATACCTGACTTATGCCTTGATGTGGGTGAGGAACAGGAGATGCAGAAGAATAAGGTGAGGGAACCAAGAGTTTGTCTCCATGGCCATCACAGTGACATTCTCATTCCACCCATTCCTTGAGCTAGCCAGACACAGGGCATGGCTGTCCCAGGGATGAATGAGCCCCATGGGGGTGACACTGCTGGGTTGCCTTAGGGCCCATCAGCACATCCACCCAGACACCCCAGGAGCCATTGTCATCTCTTGTCTGGGAAACACTCCCCCAAGCCCTCCTCTGAGCACTTTGAGGGGTGGGGTATAAGTTTGGTGGCTCCCAGACAAATTAAGATGCTAGGATGTGACATGTAAGGTCAAGAAATTTGGCCACCCTGGGAATATTCATTCAGGACTGCACTCATACAGCTGAAACACTTCCAGACTTGTGCTTCTTTTCACCAGCTCGGAGCTCTGGCCTGTCATACACAGTTCCCTACATTTATCCATGTACACAAGTTGTCCACAGAGGCTGTGATTAATCAAATCGCAATGCCATTTTTCCCTGATAGACTTCTCAATTCTTTCAAAGCCACCCTCTCAAAGACCTGGAATCTTGCACAGGAGGAAAAGGAGTGAAAGTCATTAAATAATTGAATAGCAATAAACTGATGTTTTCTGGCTCATGATGGTATTTCACTGTGTAAACCAGGAGAAAAAATAAACAGGGGATTTAGTAGATTGGAAGTAGCTCAAAATTGAGCAGCCCTTGGATTTTCTGACACCTAGCTCATGATAGTCCAATGCTACTGACAGGATTCTCCGTAGGGATCCTTTCCATCAGTCCAGCTAGCAGCTCTGGCTAATTTCCTACCGTTTTTTTCAACAGGCTTATTTGCCAGACAAAAATACAACAGGCTGTCAGAACTGGATACCTCTGGGGACTGGCAATGATAATACAATACAAAATAGGATACCAACAGGTCAAAGGTTTCCATTTCACAGAGTACTCTAATGACTGAAAGTCATTATTGCTATGCAGTCTGTTTGAAAAGAGTAGATGGATCTCAGTTCAGTTTTTAATGGGCCAGTGTTACAGAAACAACCTCAAAAATTTGGCATCTTTGTTGGCAGTCTCATTAGAGAAGCCACAGAATAAATGGGCAAGGATAATAAAGTCTCCTGCTGCTTTTGATCCTTTCAGGTCAAATCTGAGTCATGTTGGTTGAAGCCGTGTGTTTATGTGGCAAACTCACCCTCACACTGTGTGTACTGTATCTGCCTTGGATAAACAGATCTGTTTGGCCCTTTGGTCACTACAACTGTGAACTTGGAAGTTTTCTCCTTCTCTACAGCCACAGTTGCTGTTGTTGTTGTTGATTTGCAGATGTCTTTTAAAAACAAAAAGGGAAACATTTTAGACCAAACCCTCTGCTGGCATTTTTCCATTCCAGCTGGTGGAATTATGCCAACACCCACATTTGCCTGTCTATGTATTTTCTATCTCTGCTTTCTTCTATCTCTTTTAAAAGGAGATAGATGAAAATAAGCAGAACCCCCCAAACATTAGGAAATATCTTCAGGGAATTGCCCAATACAAAAGTTGGCTATTGTTGCTTGGTTTTATTTAAATCACCTTGGTATGACCCAGAATGCTTCCACCTCCCAGTGACCTGACACAGCAGATACACGACCACTGATGGTATCAAGTCCTAGGAACTACCCTGCAGACACATGTAGTTTGTTTTCTCTGTTTCCCCTGGCAGATGAGCCCAGCAGGTGCTATTTCCACGACGGCGATGGAGTCTGTGAGGAATTTGAGCAAATGACCAGCATCAAAGACTGTGGCGTTTACACTCCCAAAGGCTTCCTGGATCAGTGGGCTTCCAACGTCTCTGTCTCACACCACAGTGACCAGCAGTGCCCAGGGTGGGTGGTCATTGGTCAGCCAGCTGCAACCCAGGTAAGGACAGCGTGTTCCTCTTCCTCTCCTGCAAGTCCAGCAAGGAGCAATGATCTCAGGTGGAGCTCAGTGGTCAGCGTTCAGGGGTGCTCTTACCCCTGCCTGTTCACTTGTTTCTTCACCAAGGATGGCCCCTGGCAGCAACTTCTCTCTTTCTGAGCCTGATTAGTAGTGATGAGTTGAAATTCAGTCCCAGTCACCCAACTGGAACTGGCTGAAGTTGTGGCTGGGTTGATTCAATGAGCTGTACAGGAGTCACCTCTCCCAACCATCATCACCTCAGAGATAGACGGTCTCTTCACAGCAAGCACAGGGAATGAGCTTGTGGCAATGAGTTCTGAAGGCTAATGCCGAATAATACAAAAGAGTGTTCTTTCTTTTTTAATAGTTTTGTGTTTTCTGCCTCCCAGTTCCATAAAAGCACCCTATTGTTCTATTCTGAGAAAGGTCCTGTCCATTCCCAAAGCCATTCATTAGCTTTAACCCCCTTCTCCTATGTCTCCTTTGTAACATAAATAGCTCCAGTTACCATAACTTTACCTTTTGTCTCTTTGAGAGAATTACATCCAAATGAGTTCAAAAAACCATTAGATAGATGTCTGGAAAACAGAGCTGTACATGAGCAGATGCAGCAGTTCAGATGCAACCTGATTTGGGAAAGTCCACATTGCTTGTTGATGATTTTTAGAGGGAAAGGCTCTTCATATATAAGAGCTGCTTTGTATATTCCTCCTTCAGCCCCCACTGTTGTCCCTTATTAGAGACAGAGAACTTATCACACTAATCAACTTTGGCTGACTTCTGGTTGGATGCAGAAAAGTTTTTCTAAGAATCTAATTATCCAAGAGGTGTCCTGAGTGGGCAGTGCAGAGAGGAGTGCTGTGTCACAGATATGACAAGCAGATCTCTCTGTGAATAGTAAATGTTAAGCATTTCCAGTTGGCTTGCAAGAGAAAACATCTTTATGCAAGAGACTTGGCCTTGCTCACATTGCACAAGTCTGTAACAAATTAATGACCAGGTCAGTTCTAAATGCACAAAGCGTGGTTAGCTGGCAGAGAATCAAGACAGAATCTCGAGCCCAGTATTGACTTTTTGTCATTGTCTCATTTGTTATTTCACACTGTAAAAGGAACTTTCCTCTGGACCCTTGCTTGTGCCTTCACAACTTCCTCCTCATTCAAGTTCCCTGTGCAGACCAAAGGCCAGTGGCTCCAGTTCAGGTGCTGTTTTTTGGACACGTCCCCAGGCATTCTGTGCCCCTGCAGCTGCTCCAGAGCTGCCCTGATTTTCTCTGAACACTGGTAGGAGCTCAGCCACACCACACAGTAGGTAACATGTGGTCCTGTGGTGGAAAAACCACCACCACGCACACACACAACACAAAGCCCTGCTGTGTAGCCACAACTCAGGCGTGTTTGTTGTACCCAGTTGAGATGAAGTTGTCACAGCCTTGCTTGGAGGAAAAAAAAAAAAAAAAAAGGCAAAAAAAGCTGTTGTATTTATAGGCAGAGCAGTGGCATATCACACACTGGCAGAGTGAATGGGAACATGCCTCCTGTTATTGCCTGGCCCCTGGGGAGATAACAGTGTGCTATTTACTTCCAGCAAAAAGAATTTTTGCTTTAGCTCAGCTGGTCCTATTACACCAGTTTGAGTGCATGGGGTTCATTGACCTTTTTAATCATATAGATGATGGGAAAGTTTTTGTTTCCCCCAGGAACAAGACAGTTGTCTTGGGAAAGCACCTGACTTGTCACTCTGGAGAGGTTAGATGGGGCAGCAGGTCATCAGTCTGTTAGCTTGTGGAGATGAAAATTAACCTAAGATCTCCACTAATCGCTGCATGTAATGATCACTGGTGTGTAAACATGTTTGGCTTCATTATCTGCACAAGCACTGAGCCTTAGGGGTTTTCTGTATTGATGAAAAGAGCACCTTTCCTCACCCAGATACCTTTCAGAGTAGGTTGTGTGCTTGTTGGTCTTGTGCAAACTTTTCATGTTGTTGCTGGGTAGCTTCCTGATTAATCAGAGTGGTATTTGTGTTGGCTTCTCATCAGGAATGCCATGAAAGGTATGTTTGAGTGCAGTGCCCAGCAATATACAGAATACATAAGCTGCCTGTTTGTCAGCCATCCCCACCTCTCATCCTTGCCCCAGTGTTCTCAAGGCGCTTTAAAACATTTTAAGCATGTCCTGACTTAAAATGTTTCTCATCCTTGGATATCTTAACGCCAGGTTCTCTGCATGACTGTCATAGTTCTGTCAAGGCTTTTTCTGAGGAGTTTGCATCCCAGGTTGGTTGGTTGTTGTGGTATCTCTCAGCAATATCTGCCCATGCGCCTTGTTTACCTGTTGGGGGATTGCTGATAAGCACAAGCTGGAGAGCACTTTCTTGTTATTGTAGGGCTGTTTCTGTGACCTCTCTGCTCAGTTCACTGCAGACATTGCCCATGTCTGCAGCTGGCTTTTCCTTAGATACTTAGTTATTAGTTTGAGATGGCTCTTACATCACTTGTTAGTGTGAGGCTGCCGACTGGCAACATAGTAAGGGAGATAAAAAAGCAAGTTCCCAGTATAAGATTTGTTTTGAACAATAAAACGCTTACAAAGAATGACACAGTCTTGGCGAAGAGATACAGATTTGAAAAATGGAAAGGTCAAACAGCCCCCCCTTTAACAATCGCCCTTTCTGCAGAAGCAAGACTGAGAGACAGCCACTTCTACTTTCCTGGCAGCCACCCTTCAGTGCTGATTAAGAAATATTCTCAGTACTGACAGCATCATATTCAGAGCCAAAGAGGGCCAGTCAGCAATATTGCACCAGCACAGAAATGCAAACACCAGTGCAGGGTAGTTTTGCAGTTTGATTTCTAATCTTGTGTCTTCCACAGACCTGGAAGCAGATGCTGCTCACTACCTGTTGTCAGCTGCAGGAGGAATTCAGCAATAATGGCTTTCCTCATTCTTGAGCTGGCTTTTTCCCCCCGACTCCTGCTTCTGCTATAAGTTTGCAAACAGCCTCTCCTTGCACATCAGTTTTCCTTTGCCACAGTTTATGCTGGGTGAGTGCATTAGCTCCTGTTAGTCTCTCTTGCTGGAGTCAGTTGTACTGAGCAGGGGGGATTTGGATATTTTGCTAAGGCCTCTGGAGGAAGCCTCTGACAGGCCTATTCCCGGAGGGATGCTCCAGCTGGGGTGAGCAGAGCACAGGCAGATGAGTGCAGCCTGATCACAGAGCACTGGAGATGCCATTTCTTCTTTCCTCTTGCTGGTGGCACTCCTGCTTTTGGAGAGCTGATTGACCTGAAGCTTCCCTTTGAGCCATTACAACAGAGAATTATAGGAAGGGACTAATGGGTCTTTAGGTGGCTGATTCCTGACCCTGTTACTCCTGTCACAGACAAGTGTGCTCAACACTTGGCTGTTGGTGTGGGTTGGTGATTTAGAGAGACAGTCCCCCAGGAACTGCCTTTTGTTGCATTTCTTCCCAGCTGTGCAGAAGTTGTTTAGACCAAGTAACCATACGTGTATAATATATATATATATATATAAAATCTTTTTTTTTTGCCTTATGCCATTGTTTGAGCTTGATTTTCCAGTGTATGGAAAAAACCACACAGCTCAGGCACAGTTAACAGAACGGGGACTCTTTCCCAAGGCTGCTGGGCACAGACAGATCCTGGGATTCGTTTTCATTCCCGGACTAAAGAACACACCCTGTTCTCCTCTGGGTACCCCACAGGGGCTTCTATGGAGTAAGAAGTTGTGGAAAAGGATTCTTATTACATCTTTCCCACAAACAGAGGCCCCCTCCTGCCCCATTACCATTCCCACAATTGCACTCATCCAGACTTGCTGCAGCAAACCTTCCACCAGCAGCAAAGATGTCTAAAATTGAAGTATGTCTGGAATAGCCCACAAAAGGAGAAGACAGGAGCACAAAAATATCCTGACTACTAAAAGAAATAACATGGTAGAGCAAGGGCTCCAAACAGAACGGGGACTCTTTCCCAAGGCTGCTGGGCACAGACAGATCCTGGGATTCGTTTTCATTCCCGGACTAAAGAACACACCCTGTTCTCCTCTGGGTACCCCACAGGGGCTTCTATGGAGTAAGAAGTTGTGGAAAAGGATTCTTATTACATCTTTCCCACAAACAGAGGCCCCCTCCTGCCCCATTACCATTCCCACAATTGCACTCATCCAGACTTGCTGCAGCAAACCTTCCACCAGCAGCAAAGATGTCTAAAATTGAAGTATGTCTGGAATAGCCCACAAAAGGAGAAGACAGGAGCACAAAAATATCCTGACTACTAAAAGAAATAACATGGTAGAGCAAGGGCTCCAAGAGTGGTAAGAAAATACCATAAGAAAATTAAAGAGAAATATGATGAAGTTCTCTGCCATGCAGTTTTATTCTGTCTAATAAATATAATGCTGAAGAAAATTCCCCAAAGATCCAGCAGAGCCAGCAAATAGAGTAATCTTCAACAGGAGTGGAAAGAGAGGAAACCTGCAACTTTTAATGGAGAAGCCATTCCTTTCCTTTGGGGTGATCTTGCTGAGAAGAGGGAGGGTGTCTGTCTGTCGGCTCTGCAAGTGGCCCTTTTTGAACTTCCCAATTCACAGCCAAGTCCTGTTGCTCTTCAACGGTAAGAGTTTTGTTGTGGTTGGAGGGATAAAAAATCCCCATTTTTAATAAGATGATTTGCTTTGCAAATGTCTTTGTTATTTATAGCCGAGCCAGACTTTGAACCACTAAGCTCTGGAGGATGAGGGCAGAATCCCACTAAGCAAAACCATTAATGGAGGAACCATGAGTGATCAGAGACCAGTTCTGGAAAAAGATGAACTGGACACTGTGCACAGGCTGTCACAGGAGGAATGTAGGTTTGCTGTACGTGGCTGAGCTCATTTCCAGTACTGGCTGATCCACTGAAGGCCTTCAGCTTAGGTTACACAGTCTCCCAGTCTAAAGTTAGTTCCAGGGGTCCA